AGTTCAGTGTCTGCATGCAGAGAAACTGCTATGTTTATAATAGGGTTAATCCAGCCTCTAGTGGCTGTCTCATTGACAGCCGCTAGAGGCACTTCCGCGCTTCTTACTGAGATTTTCACAGTGAGAAGACACCAGCGTCCATAGGAAAGCATTGTGAATGCTTTCCTATGGACTGGCTGAATGCGCGTGCGGCATGAGCCGCGCATGCGCATTCAGCCGAGGAGGAGGAGAGTCCCCCTCCCGGCGCTGGAGAAAGAGGTAAATTTAACCCCTTGCTCACCCTATAGCCCGGCGGGGTGGGGGCACCCTCAAGGCACTATAGTGCCAGGAAAACAAGTATGTTTTCCTGTCACTATAGTGGTCCTTTAAACATGCTCTGTAGACAGCTGGTCTCACAATTAATGAATAAATCTCACAAACCTCTTTATTATTTGTAAAAAAAACAATTCTGGGACAAAGAGCTAAAAGTGAGACTCTCTGAAGGAGTAAACAGAACAAAGAACGTGGATAATCCAAAAGAATGGAGTCCACGGTGTGTCAAGAGAACCCTATAGGGGGTAACCCTTAGAGATAAGTATAAAGTACTAAGAATGATCCCTGGCTAGAGAACACCATAGGAACACAGAAAGAGTTCTCTGGGTATTGTGATTGCATAAGAAATAAAAATAAAAAATCTCTTTATTATAGGGTATAAATTCCCCCCCAAAAATAAATAAAACTTAATAAAAACTAACACACACTAGAGAGAACTGAGATAATAAGGTAAAGGAGGAGAGACAAAGATAAAGTGATACTAAAAAGTGTCACAGCAAGAAAAAATCTTGGTATACAATCTCTCCCCTAAAGATATGTAGCGATTTGGATTTATAACAGAGTATAACAGTTGCCAAATATCCGCCTACAATGCTAAGTATGGATACATAGTATCCCCTCAATTAGCTATAGCTGGTAAGCATTAAGGATCAAAGAAGTGAACTGAACTGTCTGTTAACCAGGATTTCTGATAGAGGACATTAATATAGCCTATGCTGTAAGAGGGATTACACTAAACATCCACTGCATAGAACGCTAAGGCTATCCTAAAATAAAGGAGTCCATCTGTAGAAACTACCCACCACTCTAAATAAATATCTCATAAAGTCACAATCATTTCTCTCTAACCCCTAAAGTGCTTAAATTAAGTGCTGTGGTTTAAAATAAGGCATAAGTCCTGACGCACGTTTCGGCGCTACCCGAGCGCCTTTGTCAAAGGTAACCGAGGTACTGGCTGGATGTTCGTTTATATATCTGTTGGGGTATATGGCTTAAGCCAATCACTGTCCCCGTAGTTCCCGCCGAAAATAACTGATCACATATGTCCATCCTCATTGTGCTAATCACGCCCAATAGGCGTTTGTTCAAGGCGGGATCTTACTTGTATGAATGGGAAGCCACTCCTCCATTGTGTTCGTTCAGAAGTACCGGAGGACGGTCCCAACGTACAAGTGCCGGTAGCCGTGCATAGGGGAGAACAGAATTTCTAGAATGGTTTCTTCACACATTATAAGTGAAAAAATGTATTAATTAATTATATGACTTATCCAGGAATATAGGCAATGTTTGATAAACATTGTCTAGATTATGTCATGTGATGTTTGAGGTCTTATGTTCATTACAGTGCTTCAACGATATGTATTTAATAAAATCTAAATGATAACAATACAAGATATCGATAAATCCATATAGCATATAGGTTTATTTAGGGACTAAGTATCACATGATCTACCCTGGTCCTACTAGCCTTACATCTCAATATTATGGTGAGAAACCCCTATTTCCAAATGTATTAAAAGTATACATACATGTATGTTTGTACAGCCGTACCTAGCCTCCTATTTACACCTCTTACATAAAGAGCTTATATTCAATATCATATAAGAAACCACAAAAGTACCCACATATATACATATTTACATGAATTATATTTGAGATTTAATTACAGAGTATACAGTCCTATGAAGGGTCGATAAATGGAGTAAACGTAAACCCCTCGTTAAGTCCCTTAGGGGATAAAGTATCAAACTTATGGATCCAAAAACATTCCCTTCTCAACAGCATCTGGTCCAAGTCACCTCCTCTTCTTCCCACATTGATTTTTTCAATACCTGCAAATTTAATGCATTTCGGTGTGTCCATATGGTTGAGTCTCACATGCCTAGCGACAGGGGTATCTCTCTTGGAGGTCACCGAATGTATGTGCTCCATTATACGTCTCTTAAAAGGGCGTATAGTTTTGCCCACATATTTCATGCCACACTTACATGTTAGTAAGTAAATCATGCCTGAGGTGTTGCAATTAAAAAAGTCTTTAATGGGCATTGTTATGGTGTTCGTGGAGTCACTAAGGGTTTTAGAGCCTTTAGCGATATAAGTGCATGCCACACATTTGCCACACTGATATGTGCCATGCACTGTAATCCAACTATTTTTTATTTTTCCTGGTGTTGACAAATGACTGGGCACTAAGATCTCCCTGATGTTTTTGCCCCTTCTAGCCGTAATGGACACTTTAGATGAAACCGTGTCACAAAGGTGTGGATCTTGAGTTAGAAGTGGCCAGAAGCGCCCTATGATCTTTTTTGCATCTTCCCAACCTGCATCAAAATTGGCTATGCATCTAATCTGTTTAGATTGTTGTTTCATAGTATTCTGTAGCAAGGTCCCATGATCACATTCCAGAGCTCTTTGGTACGCTTGCTTAAGGCATCTCCCAGGATAGCCTCTTTCTTTAAATCTCTGCCTCAATTCTAAGGCCTTACATTGAAAATCCTCAAGGGAAGAACAGTTTCTTCTCAGTCTTAGATACTGGCCTACTGGAATACCTCTTTTCAAGGAGGTGGGATGATGGCTCTCCCACCTAAGCATGTTATTTGTTGATGTGGGTTTGCGATAAAGAGTAGTTTTCACCTCTAAACTCTCAGTTAATGTCAGTGTACAGTCCAAGAAGTTGAGTGTTTGATCACCCAGCTCCATGGTAAACTTGAGGTTGAGGTTGTTCATATTCAATCTATCAACAAACTCCACAAAAGAGTCCTTAGTGCCAGTCCAGATCACTAAAATATCGTCTATATACCTTTTCCATAAATAAATATGGTCGGTATACTCTTTGTGTGCATCTGAGAAGACAATCATGTTTTCCCACCACCCCAGGTGCAGGTTAGCATATGCTGGGGCACAAGATGTTCCCATAGCAGTTCCCTGCACCTGGTGGTAGTACTTATCTTGAAAAAGAAAGAAATTGTGGGTCAATATGAATCGTAGAAGATCTAATACGAATTTGGTATGGACCATATGTTCCAAACCCCTTTTCCTTAGGAAATATTCAACGTGGTCAATACCGCTTGAGTGTGGTATGGAGGAATATAATGCCTCCACATCTAGACTACAAAGTACTGCCCCTTTGGGTACTTGCAATGACGCCAGACATTTCAAAGTATCCTTGGTGTCTTTTAAATAAGATGGTAATTCTTCCACAAAGGGACGTAAGATTTTATCCACGTATATACTTCCTTTGCTGGTAAGATTATTGGACCCTGATACTATTGTAGGCGGATATTTGGCAACTGTTATACTCTGTTATACAGGATAGTCTCTACCCAAATCGCTACATATCTTTAGGGGAGAGATTGTATACCAAGATTTTTTCTTGCTGTGACACTTTTTAGTATCACTTTATCTTTGTCTCTCCTCCTTTACCTTATTATCTCAGTTCTCTCTAGTGTGTGTTAGTTTTTATTAAGTTTTATTTATTTTTTGGGGGGAATTTATACCCTATAATAAAGAGATTTTTTATTTTTATTTCTTATGCAATCACAATACCCAGAGAACTCTTTCTGTGTTCCTATGGCGTTCTCTAGCCAGGGATCATTCTTAGTACTTTATACTCTCTGAAGGAGTCCCTCTATTATTTAGTGACAGACTGAACATTCATTTTATTTTGGAAGCTCAAGATTTGGATCTGTGTTTTTATCAAATTAATTATTTCGTAACTCGTTATATATCAGCCGGTTAGAGCAGTGGTAACATCATCCAGCTATATATATATATCTATCCACATATCCACCTCTCTCAAATCCTGATTGATTGTGAGCTTCTTTGAACAAGGCCTTCTTCACTTCTAAAGCTCACCTTTCTGTAATTGTAAAGCATTTCAGAATATGTTGGCACTATATAAATGCTAAAATTACTGATCACCTGGACATCTGTGGATTTTGTATGTCATGTGCAGTTATGTGCCAGCAGGGGGCAGAATTAAGTAACATTTCTTGTAGCAGGGATGGAAGTTCTTCCCCCCAGTATGTTTATATTTATTGCTTGTAAAGTTTATATTTAATTGTAGTCACACATTGTGGCTCGTTCTCACTCTCTACACATTGTCTCCAGTTTGGCCTTATAAAGCCTCTGCTTGTGATTAACCAATGGGTGCCAATATCTGCCACTAACTGGCATTTAATAGGGAGATGGAGCTGGTTTACGCCTCACTGGAACTGGGCCTGGGACTCTTAACCCTTTACAACCATCATCTCTAATAGTCCACAGAATCCATCTACATGATAGATGAAGGGCACTCCAGGCAAACATCCATCGAGTGTGCAATGTGTTAATTATAATGCATGCCTTCCTTTCTAAGTCCACCTTCCATACCTTCAATATTTCCCTAATATCTCCAAGAACCCTTTCTAAATCCACCTTCCATACCTTCAATATTTCCCTTATATCTCAAAGAACCCTGCTCTACATGAATGCATGTCTTAAGTTCAGTTGTTGCCCTGTAGTTCACTAGTGCAGTAGAAAGCTGACATTTGAGCTAAAACTCGGAGAAACCTTTGCAGTGCCTATCGGCAGAGGGTATAGCAAGCATGATAATTCTTTTAGCGCAGTCCCTCCCTTGTTTGTCAGATGTTTTTCAAATTATATAACAAAAACTGGGTCTCTTTTGGCACCCATAATCCAACCCTCTACTATTGTCCATATAATAAAGAGTTTAACCTCCCCATTATCTGAGTAAATTCCTTTTTTTTTTTGTTGTAGTTGCAGTGCGATGTATGAAGTGTGTGCTGTAGTAGTTGCAGTGCGATGTATGGGGTGTGTGCTGTAGTAGTTGCAGTGCGATGTATGGGGTGTGTGCTGTTGTAGTTGCAGTGCGATGTATGGGGTGTGTGCTGTTGTAGTTGCAGTGCGATGTTTGTGGTGTGTGATGTTTGGGGGGTGTGCTGTTGTAGTTGCAGTGCGATGTTTGGGGTGTGTGCTGTTGTAGTTGCAGTGCGATGTATGGGGTGTGTGCTGTTGTAGTTGCAGTGCGATGTATGGGGTGTGTGCTGTTGTAGTCGCAGTGCGATGTATGGGGTGTGTGCTGTTGTAGTCGCAGTGTGATGTATGGGGTGTGTGCTGTTGTAGTTGCAGTGCGATGTATGGGGTGTGTGCTGTTGTAGTTGCAGTGTGATGTATGGGGTGTGTGCTGTTGTAGTTGCAGTGCGATGTATGGGGTGTGTGCTGTTGTAGTTGCAGAGCGATGTTTGGGGTGTGTGCTGTTGTAGTTGCAGTGCGATGTATGGGGTGTGTGCTGTTGTAGTCGCAGTGTGATGTTTGTGGTGTATGGTGTTGTAGTTGCAGTACGATGTATGAGGTGTGTGGTGTTGTTGCAGAGTGATGTATGGGTAAAGTGTGTTGTGGTGTTGTAGTTGCAGAGCGATGTATGGGGTGTGTGGTGTTGTTGCAGAGTGATGTATGGGTAATGTGTGTTGTGGTGTTGTAGTTTCAGTACAATGTATGGGGTTTGTGGTGTTGTTGCAGAGCGATGTATGGGTAATGTGTGTTGTGGTATTGTAGTTGCAGTACAATGTCTGGGGTGTGTGGTATTGCAGTACGATGTATGGGGTGTGTGGTGTTGTTGCAGAGTGATGTATGGGTAATGTGTGTCGGAGTTGCAGAGCGATGTATGGGGTGTGTGGTGTTGCAGTACAATGTATGGGGTGTGTGGTGGTGTTGCAGAGTGATGTATGGGTAATGTGTGTTGTAGTTGCAGAGTGATGTATGGGGTGTGTGATGTATGTTTGTATGATGTGAGCTCTGTGCCTGCCTGTCCTGTGTGTCATGTTGCTGCATACATCACACTGACAGCAATGTCTCTTGGCTGTCTCAGGCATGCTGTGGCTGCAGTGCTGCTGTGACAAGGACAGAAAGGAAGCTGCTATGGCAACAGCACCAGTTCTAGGGGTGCTTTACAGCCAAACAAAGGAGCAGTAAGAGCCTCTTCACAATATCAGGGTACTAGCTAGTTCAGTGATGGCGAACCTTTTTGAGCCCGAGTGCCCAAACCGCAATACATGCCAACTTTTTTTTCCTTAAAGTGCCAACACGGCAATTAAACCTCAATACTGAGGTTTAAGTTTAGAAAAAACAACTCGTACTGTTGTCCGAACTAATTAACACAACAACAGAGAGTTCAATTATACAAATTTTAAATAATGATATAAATAGATACTAATAAATATAAGCTTAATTTTATCTCCAATAAATGCAATACATACACACACAGACTGCTGAATACATACACACAGTCTGCTGAATACACACATACAAGACTGCTGAATACAGAGACTGATGAATACACACACACAGTCTGAATACACATACAGACAGACTGCTGAGTACACACACAGACTGCTGAGTACACACACAGACTGCTGAGTACACACACACACAGACTGCTGCATACATACACACACACACACACAGTCCGCTGAATACACACACTGCTGAGTATACACACAGACTGCTAAATACACACACACACACACACAGACTGCTGAATACACACACACACTCCATTGAGGGGTGTAGTGTATGTTTGTGTGTGGGAGGGTAGGGGTACTGTATGTGGGAGGTAGGGGTAAAGGTGGTTTAAAAAAAAAAAAAAAAAAGTATGCTAAACCCCTGTCTTCCCGCGCAATGCTGTGTGGAGCGTTGCCATGGTAACACGCTTCACAGATCCCTCCCCTTGCCTCCGGACACGGAAGCAGAGTAGGGGCCTGCCGTTTTGGGCAGGCAGGTGCCTACTCTGCATTGATGGCGAACCTATGGCCGTGTGCCCACAGAAAGGGCCCAGCGTGACACAGGTTCGCCATCACTGAGCTAGTTGAATTAGATCAGAGAGCTTCATCGGTAACTGTGCCTCCTCTAGTCAGGGCAATGCCAGGCCTATGGCTTGCTATTGCTGGACCGTTATACACTACCCCTGAGTATGTGTTTATCACAGAGTTCCAAAGCAATAAAACGCACATAATGTGCAGTGTGTTTAAATACATCAAAGAGCTCCATGACCGTAAAACTCACAGAAATTAGTGGTGTGTATGAGTGTCACAGAGCTCAGCTGCAAGAAAATTTACAGTGATGTGCAGTGTTTAGCAATTACATTGTACTCAGAAATGCGTTGTTCCTAATGTAAATAAGTCGCTCGATTACATTAATAGCTATCAACACTCCATGAAGTATTGACACTTTAATGATGCGCTCTTGTCTCAGTCTTAACTAGGAACAAGTGTTCCTCTTCGGTTGTTTGAAATGTTGAGAGTAAAGCTTTGTCAGGGATTTTCACATTTTCCCCCTAATTGAGAGTATTTTGGCCAAGTCTTTCACTAATTGATTGTGTGTCACTTTGTGTCGTTGTACTGTCACTTGAGTGGCAGAAACTGGCCCTAAACAGAAGTGCGGCCCTTTCATTTGGGTTCATTAGGCTGTATAACAGTGTGAACATGCTGATCTCGGCCATTTATGCTTTTCATCTCTAAGAGGATGAATGAAGAGAGGCTGATGTCAGAGCAGCGCAGTGTGTGTGGCCTGTCCCACGATGTCACACAGCAGAAGACATTATAAAGTGAAGCACGGCTGCTGAAATTTGCATCCTGGAAATGGGCAGCCTTTGAATCTTTGCCACGTTTTTCATTTAATGTTGAGTGCAGAAGCATTGGTCTCTGTAGCCAGGGCTATGTGAGACATATTTCGTAACATGTTGAGATTTTAAACTTAGAGTGACACAATTGCAGGACTGACTGAAAAACAGATAAAAATGTAGATCATTGAAAGTCTGAACAAAGACTATTACACTTGTTTTGTGTAGTGTGTGCTTATGTATCTCTTTGTCTATCTAATATATCACAAACAGGACCTGCATTGCTTCTATACACTGCTTCACTCATCTTATATCAGAAAGCTCGAACTCTGGTCCCACCAGGTCTGAATGGCCTACAACTCCCTGAATTCTCTGAGTGCAATAAATGGCCAGAGTACCATGTGTGCTGTAATTTAGCAATATGTGGAATGGGAGAGGCCTGGGGTTTGTGATGATACCACACTGGGTTTGTTAAATTGGTTGCAGTTGCATGGTGGGTGAGTGAATTATCTTCTCCTACCAGGGCGATCACATCTAGCGTTTTATAATTATCTACGTTACTATCTATGTTAACAGCTGTAGATGAGATCACTATCACTCATCATCTCCAGTGTTCTTTGACAACATGTCCGTCAATTTGAAAATGCCAAAATTTGAAAAGTTGCTTTGGGTAGTGCCAATTCCAGCTCCCAAGATGTACAGTGGATTGGCAGAGAACTTGGAGGTGGAAACAGTTTGCAGTGGTACCTTGATAAAGTTTGACCTTTTTTTTTTTTTTTTCTGCTGCTGTTTGCTGGACCTTTTTGTTGGAACTCAGGTTATTAGATTGGCTGTTGTTAACCTTCACCCTGTGATGCAATTGCAAAGTCTGCAAACTTGCGGCTTTATTTGCAGTTAAAAGGGCAGTTAAAGCAATTAACCACCTGTAGCAGAGATGTAGCAGTTATGGTACTGTTTCTTTGTCCTGCGTCCAATTATTACTATTTGCAAAAGGTTCGACCAGACAGTAGGATCCTTGATACACCTGTCGCCAAGCTTCTACTTGCTGGAGTAGCTAATATAGAAGTTTCACCTTCATCCATGTTTGTGTGGCTTTCATTGGCTGGATCATTGAGGCCGGAGTCAAGTAACACAGCCCCTGCTCTTAGCTGCCACTTAAACACTACCACTCTCATGCTTTGCTAAATAAGAACCTGCCTGCTTTCAGTGCACTGCAATCTGTAGGCACCATAACGGTTTTATCCCACTGAAGTAGGTATAGTGTCTTAATTCTCCTGATACCATCCTCCGTTCAGTGTTAAAATGTTTTTTATGTTTTAATTCTAAATAGGAGTTCCCAGAAGCCCACCCCCTCTGTGCTGCTACAGCTAATGAGGAAGCATTCACCTGAGCTGCAGTGGGCGGCTGTGATTGGCAGCAGATGCCATTCAGCCTATCACAATGGCCACTGCTGGTATGCATTGGTAGGAAGTGTGTAATTTCTGCATTAGCCCCACCTCCAGTGAGGGCATGGCTATGGGAAGCCAGTGACCCTCATTCTGTGTTAAACTACTTGAAAATGGTTTAACACTGAAAGGAGGGGCAGCGACAAGAGATTCTAGGCACCATAACCACTTCAATTAAGTAAACTGGTTATAGTGCCTACAGTGCCCATTTAACACAGGGATATCTTTTTTTTTTTTTTTTTGCTGAAGATGCAGCCTTTATCCCTCCTGTATTATAAATCCAAAAGACAAAGATGTATATAGATTCTATTTGTTTAGGGAGACCATATATTACAGATCTCATTTATTTAGGGGGCACACTAGATTGTATAAAAAAGGAAAATTAAGAGAGAACTGTCTTTGAAATGAATGAGACATTAATCGTATGGCAGTAATAAAGTGCTTTCTCTGGGGATAGCTGTAGCACTGCATGTGTCCTGAAACCTTGATATACAGTCTCAGGCCAATAAAACAGGGAGATTTCTTTCCTCACATGAAATGAAAAGTCCCTAGAATATTCCTTGTAAATCATGTTGGCAGATTTAGGTTCCTTTTACCCCTGGTAGCTGGCAACAGGCTTTATTTATGTTCATTTTCCTGTAATGTTCTTATTTAGACAAACAATGTTCTATCAGATTGAAAAACATGCTTTGTCTTGTTTTGACAGTTTAGTTATCAATGTCTTATTATTATGAAATGCCTGCAAGCTCTCTAAATGCAGTACACCTGGCACGGTACCTGTGCTGTAAATTCCCCAGATTTTATTTTGTCACAAACCCAAAGTGTGTCATTACTCTATGCAGGTCTGTGTTAAGTCATTGGATCTATTTTTTTAACATGTTCTCTGGACTGATATTCTGAGCCCAATGTCTGTTATGGAATGCAGTAACAGGCCCAACATTCTAATTGCCCCAGCATGACCTTTGCTGAGTAGATTCCCCAGCTATTTAACTAGTGAGAAATCCAACAACAGCCTAGTGTTGCTGATGTGGAATCAATTAATTGATTATCTTGTGTATCTGCCCCCGGCCAAATTAAAGAAGTAGTCCGTGCACGCTCCTAAAGTAATTCACACCAGACACAGGTTTCGGGTTAATGAAAAACTTGAGGAATGTTTATTCTGAGGGGCCGGCATGCCCCTTATAAAGCAAAATTACATCATATGCTTTGTCATAGATAACATGAAATAATACATCAATAATTGGTTAGGTGTTAAGTGGTTCATTTATTGCTCTTCCTACCGGGTGTGATGTCACTAGTATCTTGGAGGTCTCCCCCAGATTCCAGCGCCATCTTGTTAGTGATGTCGATGTCAAAAGGGAAACTCCCTGGTGGCCATTTTAGGTAAATCACATATAAAGTTGAATAATGCTGATTGTAGGTATGCTGAGTAAATAGGCATTTTACCAACATAAATTGAGTTAATATTTTTGTCCACAACAATTGCCATAGTTAGTAAGGCCTTTAAACATTACAAGGTAGGGATCCAAAGGAATTATTAAGGAGACAAAAAATGACTAAAAAAATGGAAGGCCCACACATCTGAATATACAGATTCAATTATTTTCAAGGCTAAACAAATCTCAAGTGAAGAATATGTGTATTCGGTTACACCATAATGGCCGAATTAAAGTGGTAGGTTTGTTTTGTCTGTCTTTTTTTCCTTGTTTTTATTTTGTGAAATTCACCTTACCTTACATTATAGCCTGATCAACTCTACAAATGGTCTCCTACAATTTCTATAATTCTGATGAATACCCAGAGTATTCAA